CGCGCAGCGGCCTGCGCTCAGCTGGGTGGCGGAGCCTGCCTGCCTGCCTCCCCCGAGCCCCGCCCTCCGCTCCAGGGGGCTCCTGTTCGGCGTTTTGGCTTGGCGCTTGTACCTTTATTGGCTTGGCGCTTGTAGCTTTGTGGAGTCGAGTGTGGGGTTTTATGGTTGCTCTTTTTTTCCCTTTGTAACTGGCCCTGTCTTACTTGGGAGGAGCGGAGGTAGCGGAAAGGATGCAGAGTGCAAGAGAGGAGCGGTGAGGATTCCTGGTTTGGGGTCTCGGTGGCTGCTTGGTGAGCACCCAGCCCGGCCTTCTCTGTGGTGCGTCTCCTCCTCCTCCTCTACAGCGTGGTCCCATACTTACACCTGCACCAGCAAGGGTGATGACAGAAGGATTTGAGGACTCCTATACCCTTCCCTTTTCTAGCGTGCGTAGAGAGGTTGTCAGAAATCAAGTTTTAGTCTTAAGTAGATGAATGTAGGCTGTTTAGTTAACTTAATTAGTAAAACAAAGCTTTTTGGAAAAAAGCTGTCCACTGAAGACTTTTTGTATGTGTTGGAAAAAAAAAAGGAAAAAGCAAACTTTACACTTTGTGAACTTTGCAAATAGTTGCTTTTGGTACATGTGGCACACTACAGCAGAAACGTAACAAAAAATACCATCTTGTGCCAACATTTTTTTTTCCCCCCCTATTTGATGTAATGGCTTGACTAAGTTAACTTTTAAATGTCTGCTTTTAACTAGAGTTGTAATTTAAATTTAGAGCACTCCTGACTCAGTTCTGTATCAGGCCAGCACAGGCAGCGCTGAGGCTGGCCTCGGGCTGATAGGGGCTGTTCTTCGTCCCCCACTCCTCCAGTGGTGCAGGGATGAGGGCAGGCTGCTAATTGAGGTTGTCTCTCCAAAATGGCTATTTTGGAAGTCTTAGCACCTGGGCACTGGGATATTTTAAGCTCAGTGAAATCAATACCTGATTATTCTGGGTTTTTTCCCAGTCTCAAGATAATTTTTCTCTATTTCAGTGTTCTGTGGTTTGGGGTTTTTTTTTAACAATTTTTAACAGTTTTCCCCTATTTCCCCCTGTTTTGTTTTGTTTTTTTTTAACTGAGCATGAGGACTACTGGGTGTCATTTAAAGCATTACCAAGCTTCAATTTTTTTTTCTGTTCTGAGCACCCATGTAAGAACTTGCAATACACCCACTCTAATTTAGTCCCTTTTCCCAATGCCAAAGTGCTAGTACCAAAGCCGCTGACTTGGTGCCTTCATGCTTTTTTGCTGCAGTTATTGCCTGAGAGATTTTCTACATTTTTCTGTCTCTCTGGTTCTAACGGTTTGTTTATAAATCATTGTTATTTTTACTTTCCGCAGCTCTAGCCAAGTTCTGTATGATAATGAGAAAAACCTAGAGCTTTTTTCCTTTTTTTTTTTTTTTTTTTTTTTTTTTTTTTTTTTTTACTGAAAACATTTGGTACACCCCTGGGATCCAGCCTTCTGGAAAGTTTTCCATGGTGTGCCCTATTCCTTTACTGCACCAGAGAAGTAACAATCTTATGGTAGGTCATTTTTACCATCTACAGAAGTTGCTTAGTTTGAAAAATGTACCTCTGCCCCAAGTTGCTGTTTCTTATTTTAAAACTTTCCATATGAGGTTATCTCTTCTTTTTCCTCCCCCCCCCCCCAACTCCCCCCTGCGTTTAGTTTTCTGGAGGGTCAGGAGGTCACTGCATGTTACTGGTGTGTTAAGCCAGGGCTGCTCTGTGTTTTCAGTGTTCCTTTTTGCATGCTTGAGTAGGCAGGCAGTAGGCAAGGGCAGCAGCAATGGATTTTGGAAGGTAATGCCCTCAGACCTGGGAAGGTAAAATGTGCTCTGCTCGCTACTGTTGCGTAATGCTGGTGGGCTTAGCTCCTTGTGGGACTGCTAAGCCCCTTTATGATTATGAGGCTTTGGTGTGGATTAAGGAAGGAAAGACCATAGGGCTACCCAGAATGAGGGGGGAAGATGTAGTTAGCACCTGTGCCCTGAGATTCAGAACAAATATCTAGAGCTCCCTGATTTTCAGATTATTTTTTTTTTACGTTTCAGGATTTTCCTGAGCATCACTGTGTGATGCTCCCTATGAAAATTTCCAAGAGCAGAAGTAGATTTAAATAATTTTTAATGACTTGAGAGAAATTGAGGCGAGGAGCAGAGAATTGGTGTGATATTTGAGTGTGAGATTTGTGATGGGAAATTCCTTGATGCTGTTTCATAAACTTTCTCACATTTTTCACTCCAGTTATTTAGAAGTTGTTATTTGTGAAACAGAATATAAACCAGACTTGCATAAATGTGCAAGGAAGATATACTTGGTCGCAAGTGGTTATTTAGACTGAAGCAAAGAACAATTGCCTATACAACAGGCAACATTTCAGCACAATTGTTTCAGTATTTATTTCAAGCAGATATCTGTATTGACTATTATGCTGTTCAAATTAGTGCCTGTACCCTGCATCCAGGTGAAATTTAGAAGACATGCAACCAGTTAAAAGCCTGGGTTTGTTTTGCTTTGTGTAACTTGGTGTTCAAGCATTTGGGTATGCTAGCTTTTTTGTTCTGTGAGTCTGATGTTGGCTACAAAAATGTTACTTAATGCCAGAAAAAACAAACAAAAAAACCTCCGGTAGTTTGGGGATTTTATGTAGTTACTTTTAATTCACACACCAAATTTTACAGGTGAAACATGAAGACATCTAGGAAAACTGTGATGCTGGCAGCCCTACTTTGATGTCAAACCAATTCCCCATTTCTTTTGACTGTTTCATGGGATACCTTTGGTTTGAATCAATAGCAGATAGCATATTGATATTTGAATCAATGGTTACTGTCACTTGGGTTGCTGAGGCTTACATTGCTGCCGTTAATTCTATTGCTTGCTGCACAGAGCGCTGTGTTTTGCTCGGTACATTTTTACTTCATTATCTTATTGTTCTGTGTTCGTCAATTCAACATCCTGTAACGCTGATGGTATTTCTGCAGGAGTGGGGCATAGGTCTTGATGTTAGCACCTCACGGGCTTCCATTCGGTTTTACACTCACACGTTCTGGTTAGACCGGTATGGTTGCTGAGCATAAAGCAGTGTGTATATGCATGCATACAAAAACCTGTTCAAAATATTTGTATTAATATAGTCTTTATTAGGGATTAGTGTTTTAATTGGTTTTCTGTGGCAGCAAAAGTTCTCGTGCAAATGCAGTTATTCCAAGAAAAGCAATTATGCTGTGTGGGAAAACGTTATAAACACAGACTGCAAAGTGTTCATAAAACTGTGCTTAGAGACACTGATTGATACATTCAGAGTACTTAGGGCCCTCATTTTCTTGTCCACAATGAATCACTTCATTTACAAGAGGAAATTAGCGGTGTATAGGCTTTAAATAACTTAAAAATTTTCTTCAAATTTTTCCCTTTGTTATTTTTCTTCCTCATAATGCGTTTTGGGCCATTGTCTAATTTGCTGTGAGACACTTACATAAATTCTTCCTGTATTGTAATTCAGGTCACAATATGCTCCCAATAATTGGTATTTGCAAAAGCTTAAAAAAATCCTGCCGAGATTAGCAATTGCTTGGTTGACATATTAGTGAAGTAAATGCTCTGCGGAAAGCTGTGGGAGCCTTGCATCTGCCTGCAGCCCACTTCTCTCTTAGGTTACCTTCAAATTCTGTTACTGAAGTGTTTAGTGGTGGGTACAGTTGTGAGAAATTACTCTTGACGGTTAAAAATAAGCATTCGTGTTGTATTGAACTCATATACACAAATCAGAAACCTTAGGCCAGGTAGCCAGTTTTTGAGTCAAAACCATAAGCACAGTATACGAAGCACCGTGGCCATTTTGCTTAGAAGAATCTTGTTGGGTTTAATGGTATCCCGACTGCATAGCGTGTTCACAGCTAGGTGGTCCCCCTGGCCATTGCAATGTCCAAAAGACGGCAAACGTTTGGAAAGTTGATGTAGACTGCTGGGAAATCCGGGGTCTCTGTGGCCCTGTTTTTGAGAACAGCCTCAAGCTGCCCTAACAGCACCTTGCTGCTTGGAGGCAGAGGTATCTTCCTGGCCATGATCTGCTGCTTTTCTTGTGCTGATACCGCTAATTGGGTGTAGCATAAAGTCACCTGGGTGTTGCTGCTGGTGAGGTGCAATCTATTCATGGGAGGATGGGAAAGATTAATTGAAGCCCATGGAAAAGAGGGATTGGGACTATTCAGCTGGGAGGGTGAGGAGAGAGCGTGTCCTCTGCCCCATCTGCAGTCAGTGAGCTGTTATGTTAGATGGGTGGATGTAGAACCGTGGTCCTGGGTGCACTTTATCAGGTTTGGCCACCTTAGTACAGTATCTTGTGTGCAGTAACTATAGTTAAGGTGACAGTTATTTTCCAACTGACTGGTGTATTAGATTCTCACAACAGGCAAGAGACAGTATAAGTAAGTACAAAACAAAAGTGGACATCAGAAACTAGTACGGAAAAGATATTTTCATTCTGATACTGTTTTTAGTGGAGGGGAGCTGGATGTAAAAATGACCAGCCTAAGGCTATAAGGAAGGAAATACAGCTTTTGAGGGATGACGGTCTTCTGCAGCAATACTTCTCCACACCATCTAATTGGATTCTACTTTGTTGTTGTTGTTGTGACAGAGAAACAAATGTGCTGAACACCAGCTTTGTTTTGTTTTCAGGGTGATCTACACAAAACTCATAATTCTGCGTCGGCCACGGATGGACTCTCTGCAACTTCATTTATAGAATATCCAAAGTACAAGCCATTTATTAATTCAGATTTGCTGCGCTCCCCACAGAAACCAGTAATTCCATATCCTGAAAGCAACAGCAGAGGTAATAGTTCAGCAAAGTTGTTTTCTTAACTGTTTCCAAATCAAGTGGTGAAATAGTGTATGTCTACATCTACAAAGGTTGCAGTATTTTTATTCTTTTGTCACTTCCTGGTGATATGCTGGTCACCTGTTTAGTAGGTCCTTTGCACTTCTTTTTCTGAAGAATACCTAACGAAAAAGGTCATCTTACAGCTGAGGAAAGATGCTCCTCTTCAGTAGTAGAGCGCTACAAAATTGTCTGAATGCTTTGTGAAATTGTCCTGACGTTTCTTTGCCTCTTCTCCTGTCCTCCTCTCCCTCAGTCTTTCCTCTTCTGAGTTCACAGCTGAGTTTGAAATAAGGAGACTTTAGTCCCCAAAATGTTTTGGAACAAAGGAAGAGGTTTGGTGGTGTCGTGATGGGAAGGCCTGTTGTGGACAAAGGATGTGGTGAGAATATTTATTGTATCAGTGAAAACTTAGAGCATACAGAAAAAGTATTAAGCAGTACAGTGCTGAAGAGCGAGATCACAACACCAAAAAAGGGAGGAGATTTTACTCCCATTGATTCTGTCTTGTTTCTAGGCTATTCCTTCTCCCTCCTTTCCCCCTCTGGTCCTGGTGTTCATCTCCAGGTAAACAGCATTTTGCCTGACCTGACATGAACAAAAACATTTTTGGTTAGTTTTCTGTTGTTTTAGTGAATTGGCTTGTCATGCAAAGAGGCCTATGCCAGAGCTGCCTTGGGGTAAGTACAGGAGGCAGAAAGGGGATTTGGGAGGCTAGAGCAGAACTGACCCTTTGATGTGAGCTGTTTGGCTTAGTGTCATTGCAAAAATATTCTGCTTAAGACTGGAGTTGCATGGAGGCTTAAGGGTATGAAAAACTTGATATTTTTTCCTTATAGGGAGAAAAGTGAGAAAGATTGAGGATGAATCCTAGTATTACCCAAGCCAAGTAAAAAATCAGCACAGTAGGCTCAAGTCCCTGTTCCAGTAACATAATTCATGTCTGAATTACTAGAGACTTCTACGTTAATGACCTAGTAGATGAAATCTGAATTCTCGAAGGACTATTTAAAATGCAGTATATGCTCTCACATGCTCAATGCCGTCAGCGTTGAGAGTGCCGATGACACAAAACTAAAGAAACCTCCTGACAGGTAAAAAGTTGGATGTGGAGGAAAGAGCTTCCGTATGAATTACATGCAGGTGTATTTTTGTAGGTTGTGTTGCATGTGCATTAGTAACAAACTTTTGACTTCCAAGTTTTCACTTGGCAACTTTCTTCAAGCAGGGAATCTGCCAACTCTGAAGTAAGTACAGGTGGAGGGAGGCAATCTGATAAATTATATCCCTTTTTAAAAATTACGAAATCTTTATTGTCAAAAAATGTTTAAATATGAATACATACTGAAAATTAAATCCAAAAGGCAGATGTTCCAATATCTTACTGTTTTTGCATAGGTTTTAAAAATGCAAAAATGTTCTGGAGTGTGTATTTTAGTAAGGATAAGGATATGGGAACTAACTTCAGATGGGAAAGTGATTTCATTGCCTTTGGGGGTCCTTACTGAGCATCCCACCCCCTAATTTAAAAAAAAAAACACATATTGAAAAAATCCTGAAAGTGAGCATAGTAAATTCTGCTTATTTTGGTTAGAATTTCTGTGTTGTGTATGTGTGTGTCTCGGCATACATAGGTGGTTTTAATACTCTAATAAGGATGACTGAATGATGCTTGTCGTTGTGTTGGGTTTCACTTTTATCTATTAATTTCCTGAATTGCTTCATTCCTGTATTTTGTTAGTCATTAGTGTAAGTGTACAGGGATTTCAATTTAGCTGTAAGGATACAGTAACAAAGCTGTTTATAGGTTCAGCTATGCCCATTTCAGCTGAATCCTGGTGACTCGAATCCTGCAAACAGGGCCAAGCTATCTGTAACTTGCCTTAACTGTGAGTGCTGTCACCTACTCATTTACTTTGCAGTTACCTTAAAGTAGGTAGCTTTTATTGATCTGATAGTCTAAGGTGCTGTTCTGCATTTCAAGGTCTGATGATTTTTTGGCTCTGGAAAATTCATTCTGATAATGATTTTTCCTTTTTTTTTGTAATCTAATGCTCAAGTAAATACTCAGTCCCAACTTTTCTGTGCTCATGCATTCAGTAATACAGGTGGTGCATTCTTTCTCCAGAGTGGGTTTAAGCACAAAGGAGTGAGTTAATGTGACCTTGCAGATTAGTCTGCTATATGAGCTGTCTGTACGCATGTTCCTGTGTTTTACTTTTAACAGGACTGTATAGGGGAAAGGCCTTATCATAATGGTTCCCTTTGCAAAAGTAAACAATACAGCTAAGAGACGTAATACATCAGATTACCAGCAGATGGTCTAATTGCAAGGTGATGTGAGTTGTATTCCAACTGCTTTTCTTTTTGTGGTGGTGAATACATAAGGTTTTGTTTAGTAGTTGTTAAAGCAGGGAATGGAACAGAAAGAGGGAAAGTTGTTCAGCTGAAAAGAAATGCATATCTTG